GTTTTCAAAAGAGGTGATTAGAAATTTTAAAAGATAAAAGAAGTCTGAAAGAAGAGTTTTACATGATTCACGATGATAACAGTTCAAATGTATTTTACCCAATCACGCAATAAACACGTTGTTTTTTCTTGAGTAGCGTAAACTGATCGTGAACTTTGCTTTGCCCATGTTACATCGGGTGGAATTGATTTTGAAAGAGTTTTAGCTTTCAATCTAAAGACTGCGTCTATCGTCAGAAAGTATTTACTTACAAACAAAGAGGTGCTAATTTTACAAAATTGACTTGTATTGTTCAATCCCGAGACTATGTCTATTGTTTACAAATTATTATCCACGACTGGCAGGATGCGTGTCGGTCGGTACGTAAGTATAATAACAATATGGCAATAGTCTTGGTCGGAAGCGTTTCCGTGGTGGTCGCTGATTTTGAGTGCTGGTCGGGCCGACAGGCGTGACAAGATCCCCAATGAAAAAAGCACTGTGGCAGTCTTGCTAATCACCGTGGTGGTGTCAGACCGGTGTGGCGGCAAATCGAAGCACTGTGGCGGGACCGCCACGCTGTTTACATCCTGGGGAGAACACTGACACATGTCACAATCGAATATACATGTAGTTGTATTAAGATAAGTTTTCACAGGACGATATTATTGATTATAACTGGGTAGAATGACTAATAACAGAACCATACAACAGTGTGTAGAGTCAATCTTATGTGGAAGATGGTCTGATTCCAAATGTGTTTGATCGTTGTAGTTTCTGAGTGATTACAGGCCGAATAAAGAAATTCATACATTTGCAAAATGATTTAAGCACAATCATCCATTATTAATTATTCATTTCCCTGCATCAAATTGCAAGTGATTTTGACTCAAATCAACACCATTGCATAACTGCATGAATACATTCAGTCAACTGAAAACAGTACCGGTAATGCATTTTTTGATATTCAATAAATCCAACACATTATCCTTACCTGATGGTATTATGTATTGTGGTTCTGTATTCCCAGCATAACCCATCTTGGTGTACCTTTTATACGAACAAAAATGTAAAATGTACTTCTGATTGTACAAGAATCACTAATGATAGTATATTTATTTACATGATAAGTCATTGTATGTAGTTTCAGACTATATTTTTTATGTTAATGCTCTAGAAAAGGAAGCAGGAACATACTAATTTTTATTGCAAAGTGGTATCCTTTTGGATATTGAATCAAAATAAACGAATAGCGCAATCTATTAGCCGATTTATTTTTAAGTGATCAATGGCGATACTAATTAGTATTTGTTGCATTTTGCAATGAAATATTTTGCTTCATTTTCTGACCAAACCGGATTTTGATTTGAGTCTTTTAGAATGTGGATTATGGGCTGATAGATTTATGTACATACATGTATGTATATTGATCATGACGCTACCCTAAGCTACACAGTATGAGGGGTATGGTAGGCAGAGGTAGGACCCGGAATAGCATATATTACACAAAGTTTGTAATGGTAATGTTTCATGTGAAATACACAGTCAGTTATGAGGTAATTGTATGTACTGGTACTTCCTCAAAATGTAACCACATCATTGAAGCGACGACCCGAAATGCCAAAAATTCACAAAATGGCGTTCCGTGCCGAGTGAATCACACTACAGTAGTGACAATCATCGCATACAACAAACAGGATTCCCTGTGTTTATAGCCAGTTCGTTATTGAAGTATCCAGAGCACGCCCAGCTTTTGCCGATCTAACAGGAAGTGCAGTACACACCCCAGTTCAATCAGAACAGAGTCACGATTTTTTCATTTAGAGCAAGATGTTCAAGGCAATATTAGATAATAACATGTTCAATGGGTAGATAACTTACCCTGTGCCATTATCAAGGACAACAGCAGGCATGCGTCCCGCCATAATTCACGTTTTTATGTTAAAACTTTACAGAAGTTCAACTCAGATACAGACACGGAAGTGAGAGCAAAATGGCGGCGAACACCTCATTCACGTTGGCCTTAATACCCAGCATGCCACGTTGCTACTTGTATTTGTCAAGCCTGTGGTACGAATTATTTGAACTTCGTGCCGCCGGCTGGCGCTCATTTATTTATTTTCAGTGGCATTTTAATTTCTCGATATTTTGAGCATATTCACTGGGTTTGAGTTATATTGCTATTTTACATATTCTATTTAGCGGATTTTACTTACCAGTAGAAATAGCGAAATATTAAAACTCAGTGAGTAATTAATACATTTACAGTATATAATAAGATGATTATTAATAAGTCTGGAGCGAACTTTGACAAATAATATCCGTACATAGAAAATGTTGAAGAAGAAATCTAGCCGGGTTAAGGATAATTACTAAAAAAAAAAATTGTTCAAATCTAGACGAATGGAAAAAATAATTCGCACAGTCGTTTAACGTCTGCTGAACCACTGTTACTAACAGAGTACCTGGAATATTAACTACCATATATACACCAGCATAAAGAGTAATTTGACGAATTCGGCGGTCAGTGAAGGCTTAAGTTTTTTGATAGACGATTCATCTTTCGGACATTGAGTAAGTGCGATTTTTTTAACTTTCAGTTTGATTCGCGCACAATTTTGTATTATCTAGATCTAGATCGTAAATGTATGTGTACAAAAAAGCTGAAAATGTTGTAGAGAGGAGTAGTTGGTTCCACCGATTGGATTCCCTAATACCAGAGACGCTCCATGGATTACATTTTCATTGAACTGATATGCAAATCAGTGTGGTCGCATGTAAACTTAGTCAATTTGTCATTGTTGTTCAGTTTAAGGTAGAGATGCAGTTTATTTGTGAATTTCAATCAAAAATAGTTTTTTTCGTTTTTTATATAGATTTTTCTCTAAAGAACATTCTGTGAAA